TCGTTATTCGCTTTCTTCCCCCGTCGCTCTCTGATCCCCTTCGTATTTTTTTTTTTTTTTTTTTTACTATTCTTCAGATCTCTTTGTCATCCTCGAGCATCTCTCGTTGCAATTTTCGAGTCCCACTCGAAACGCATCCCTCGCTACTTTACTCTCGCCGTCGCGATGTTGGTATATAATTTCCATGGTGAGAAAGTCCAGACACGCTAGACGTTTCCGGTAAAATTAACCGGTTTGCGCGGCTCCAGCCACTCGCGGCACGCGGCATGGGGTGACGCATGAGCCGACCAACATAACGCAACGCATTAATAAAAGGGGATGAGACGTTTAACAAATAAAATAAATTTCCTGCAGGTATTGAAGTGTCGTTAAAAATGAGTCAGCGAGTCGTGAAGCGGAGACACACCGACGCGACGCCTCCGTAATCCGTACATACGGACTCATTTAACTGGCCGTTTTCTTTAAAGTTAATTAGTGGATTCGAGCGAGTTTCCGGTTTGTCGAGACAGTGGTCTGTATCATCATCCGAGTATTAAGCATTTGCCAAGATTCCCGACGTTGAAAGCCGAATGTTGGAAGATACAATCTCGTTGGGTGGAATGCATTATGCAAGATCGTTAGTCCATCAAAAAGAAAGAGTCGCTTAGCGAATCGTAAATGGATTGAGACGCGTGGTTTCACTCACTGCTCATTGAAACCGAGACATCGTTTGCGGACAAGCGAGTTGACTCGTGTGCAACCGCTTGACTGGTTCGAAAGGTCGGTCAGTGTCGGTCATCGGTGTCGCGTTCGTTAGTCTTTCGTCTTGGTTTGTAGCTAGGCTCGGCTTGCGCACACTTGCTCAATGGCTATCACGAAACTCGGAGATATTTCTACTTGCAAAGAGGTAGGAGAGCATAAGGAAAAGAGGAGGGAATGGAATGGATAGAGAGGAGAAATGAGGAGATGTAAGAAAACGTAGGACACGGTATGATCACGCGAACCCCTCGAAGACGAACGAAATTATAGGGAGACTTAGTGTACGGGTTACTTCAATGTGTAGTAAGTCTTGAAAAAGAAAAAGGTCTAAATCGCGAAATACTTTCATCGATAGTCGTGTATTATTTCTTTGAAAAAAATGTATATAAGCTTTATGAGAAACTGTATATATGTACTTGCATTATAAACCTTAATCGATCCTTAGACCGAATTTCATTTTGTATACTTTTTTGGACTTAAATTCGTCGTATAAGATCTCATTTGCAAGAAAATTGGAACATGTTGAATGAATACGTAGAATGAATATGTCGACTAAGTAGGAATAAACAATTGATAGAAGTTTATTCTGTACGCAAAACTAAGTCAAATGTGCAGAATATGTAATATTTTCATTTCGTACACAGTTAAGAAGTAGTTCGATACACGTACACTTGGTAAAATTCCAAACTCGATTTTCTCAGACATGAAATCCCAAACAAGAGAATCTTACTCTACATTTTCAAATAATTTTCGCGTAGAGTAACCTTCTGTCAACTTGGAAATTAAATAAACTCAATTGTCTCGAAAATAAAGTCAACAACACAATTTTAACATTCCTGAGTTTCGTTTTATTTTGAACTTTAATTTATATAGGATCTTACTAACTCTATTGGTATTTTCGATCTAAGCCGGCGATGTATAAGTTGATAGATGAAAATATCGGTGAATGAGTATCGCGTGGTCAGTGCGATGACCGAAGCACTCCACGATCTATTAGCAAGATGGATGCTATTTTGGGGAGAAAACTCGAAACAAGTGTATGTACGTGCGCAACGAGGGCATGGATGACGTCGGGTGACGTTGCTGCAAATGCAGACGACCTTGAAGAAACCATTCGCGCAACCACGTATGCAACCTCGCTTGCCTCCCACACTTATGTCTCGAAGAAAGATCTTTCGCAAGCGGCGTACACCACGTCTAGGTGTATCGACGGACGAGTCAGGCCGCATTCTTCGCGTAACCCTCGCCTCTCTGCCTCGAGGCTCGAGGGCTCGACGAAATTACGCGGCGTGAACGCGCGTCATCGTGTTCGAGATTCAAATGTTCCCCATCGAACTCGATTTCGTTGGATACTTGGCTACGCGTTTTTAACACGCTCGATCGCGAGTCAATGCCACCACATTCTTCTCCCTATAGCTTTCTCTTCAGTATCAACTGCCCATATGAATCTCGCTGTATCATTCTTTCTCGAGGTCGGGATAGAGTCTATCGTGGTGAAAGTCGCGGAAAGTTAAGCAAGCAAATGTCTATGTCGCGATTTTCGACTTTTGAACGTAATTGGTCGTTACATCTATTCGATTTTATTGTTCGCTAAATAGAATTCTTATGAATTATTTAAACGATCGTGACTTCTGAGCTTCATAACTAGTTATAAACGAAGCTGCTGTTCGATAAACATACATTCTGGATAAAATCTCATTAAAATATAAGAACTGAAATGTAAGAGATACATAAAAAGATGTCACTTAAGCTCTACGAAAAAGTTTATGAATGGAAATTCCTAACACGTTGCTAGAAACCAAAGGAGAAGTCTAATTTAGTATGACACGTAATTGCGATATTACACAAGCGACTGGTAAAATAAAGCAAAGTATCCAGTTTGTATCTAATCTGTCGCGACGAATGCAAAAGAAAATTAATTGAACATATTCTATCTTTCAGACGTCGCTGCTTTTCGTCTCATTGAGAAAACAACGAAGCTGGATATAAATGCCAACGATGGATGGATGCGCGCGAGGTGAAGTAAAAGAAGAAAATGTGTGTGTTTGTGCGCACACGGAATGTGAAGACCAGAAAACTAGAAAAATAACTGGTTCTATCTTCCCTTCGGCATTAGAGGTACATACCTACATGTATGTATATATAGGTAGATGCTTGCGTTTAAGGCTCGCGTACTCTCTCGAGAATGTCCTCGAGTTTCGAGGACGGCCAGGAATCGACATTCGTTATCGCGTGCACACATAACGGCGAACCTGCTGGCTATAGTCGCAGGCTGCGACAACAGGTGTTCTCGCAACGTTATTCCCGCTATTTCTTCTCCTCTTCAAGATCCGAAACGAGATCTCCTTCGATTATATCATGTCATTGACCAATTCATCACCCCATTCTTACCTTTCCTCTACTTTCCTATCAAAATCCCCGGTTTTATCGATCGTCTCAAGTCACCTGGGAATTCCCGGATGACTGATGCAAACATTCACATAATTTTCCGAATTTAAATTTATTACGGCTCAAGATTCCATTCGCCTTCTGTAATAACGTTCTATCGATCATGATTCGTCACTTTACCACGAACTTAATCTTTCTGGCAGTCCTCGAATTTTCATATCTTCATACATGCTTTAATTTTCATATATGCTTTCACTTTAACAGCCAAGAAAATGTTTAATATCTTGAAAAGATTTTACTGAAATATTGCAACCAACAATCATAATTGGGTATTATAAATAATCTGTGGATTTATGTTTCTATTAACGCAATTGTAGAAGTGGAAGTTAACTCGAAATTTATTTTATTTATTAAATAATCATAATCTGTATTTTATATTTTAAATATTTATTAAAGATAAATATTTATGCATAATTTTTTGCATAAATGCATGAACATCCACAGTATATTTATTAACAGATTATTTCATGTTAATAAATATTTTTTTTAATGATATAAAAATACGATTCAGTTGAAAATGATTTAAAGAATGCAGCAGGATTAAACCTCGTCCAGATCAGTCAAGTTACTTGAATCCAAGCAACTTCAAACCACTTTACCAGCGCAAACCTGTTATTTACTTCACCGTACTACAATATTACTTCAAGAGTCTACGTTTATTTTTACAAGTTAAATTACTAGCCTTCCAGTTCCTTAAATTTAAATAATTTGAAAACACTTTAACATTTACTTGATTTTCAACAATAACATAAGTAACATGACCATTCTTCTTATTTTCTTTAAACGTAACTTTCCTATTAATTGTTATATCATTTCATTTTTTTTATTTCAAAATTCTTTAAAATTCCTTTAAAATTTAAAACAATTCTAGCATTGCAATTTATTTT